TTTTTTTAATTTTTTCTCCCCCCCCCCCCCCCCCCCAATGTCAATGTCATATTATTATTTTCCCAAGTGTAAAATGGAAAGTTCAATGAATGGCAAAAAATCATTACATCTTCAAAATCTGTATGTTCCCTTTTAATAGTGGCAATCTATGTACATTCTGCAGCCTAATTAGACATCGATTTCTTGGTAAATAAGCAAACAGTAGAAAGGTTTATGTGTTTCCAATGATGGAAAAGGATTCTAGGTCATTTCCTTTTCTGGTTTGCATCCCATCCATGTTGTTTACTGGTTTTGGCTGTTGTTCATTTTATGGTATTGTGTATCCCTTACTTTTGGTGGTATTTAAAGTGTGTGGTGTTTTTTTTTCTCTGCAGTGAGCCAGCGTTTCATTTATTATGGTCGAATAGATATTGGAAGAATATGGGTGACACTGTAATGGCAGGGTCAGCAAAAATATTATTCAGCAATGACTTTGAGGATCTGCACGATGATGGTTTTGTGGGGTCAGCAGATGAGTATAGGATTTTTGCAAAGGTGTTCTATGGGAATGACAGTGCCAGTGGTAACAGGTGTGTCGTTAACAGTGGTGAAGGATGTGTTGTTACTGGTTGTGACTATAATAAGCAAACAGACATATCCCTCTGCTCCAATAGTGGAAACTCATCATTAACCAGTCAAGATGATTGCTTTGATGCGAAAGAGGATTTGAGGGGGAAAACTCCACTAGAATGTCTCTCAGAAGATTTGACATCGTCAAACAAAAATAATCATGAAGCAAAGTTAGCTGTTGAAAATCATCCAAATGGGAGACCTGATCTAGGGGATATCTTGAATATATCTGTCTGCGAGGGAGTTGTTATGGGTATGTCCCAACAAGATTCTTATACTGCTTGTCACACTATAACACATTGTTTACTCGAATCATCTGGTGAGGGGGTTATATTTCGTCACTATCAACCGAAGGGACATGTTCATCTGGGCCAAGGTTATGAAATTAGTGGAACGGGTGGCTTTAAGAGTAGATTATCTTCTGATGGACATGATCAGAAGGACGTTGTAAGTATAGCAATTACTTCTCCTGCTTCTCAAGAGAGCTATGCAAGTAAGCTTCTAGTTATGGATCCGGCTATTTCCGTTAAAAACAAATTGGGAAGTCATCGACCTGCCAAGCCTAGATGGAAGGACTCCTGCTTCTTGAAACTGGATGATGATGAATTATCAATGCCGAGGGACATAAAAAATGATCCTCGTCCTCTTCTTCGCTATCACATTAATCGCTTACTTAGAGCAGCAGGATGGGTGATTGGGAGGCGCAAGAGGAAAAGTAAATACAACGGGATTGGAGAATATGTTTACAAGTCACCAGGAGGAAGACCGTTTCGTGAATTTCATAGAGCTTGGTCCATGTGTGGTGAGAGTTTGTTGACTGATGCCATTGATTTTGTGCAGAGAAATGATTCTAACCAGTGGAATGATATGACTGAGTTATGGACGGATCTATCTACCACATTTAAAGAGATTGAAGAGAAACACAATAGTTTAGAAACTACTTCTGCTTTGGCTCATTTATGGTGTCTTCTGGATCCCTTTGCCAAGGTAGTGTTCATTGATAAAACTATTCGCTCATTGAAAAAAGGAATTGCTGTTGAAGCAAAGAGAAGTTTCCCATGTGCAAGGGATGGTAGGCCTGCTGCCAAATACCGAAAAATCTTGAGAAACGACCAGTCCGAAATTCTGTTTGAAGTTCCCATTATTTCAGAAAACACACGTGCCTTGGTTGGAGGACGCGACACTCATCAAGATAGCAATACAGGTTCCCAAAGCATAAGCAAAGATAGACCTGAGGAAGAAGGCTGTTCTGGATATGATAGGAGGGTTCACAAAAAATCCAGAAAGATATCTGAAATGAAAGTCACTAGTCTGTATCAGCGTCATTTGAATGCTCAAGAGTATTCGGTAGAGGAAACAACTAGTTGCAGAATTGGATCAAAGAAATCAAAGACTTCACATCTTAATGATGATGATCTCTTGATTTCAGCTATTAAAAAAAACAAAACCATTAGATCTTCCAAGAAACTGGCTACCTACAAATCCAAGCCTCTGAGAAGGCCCAAGAGACGAAAAGGCAGTTGCAGATTGCTTATAAGGAGCCTCAACAAGGGTTCAAAGCATTTGATGGAGGGAAAGTGGTCTGCTTCTGAATTGAGAACCGTGTTATCCTGGTTAGTTCAGTCTGGTGTTGTTTCACTAAATGAAGTGATCCAGTTACAGAATCTGAAAACTGATGTGGTGTTGAAAGATGGTTTAATTACTAGGGGAGGTGTATTATGCAAGTGTTGTAATAAGGTGCTTTCCATCTCTGCTTTTAAGACTCATGCTGATCTTGGGTTGAAGCATCACTGTATCAATCTTTTCATGGAATCTGGTAAGCCATTAACCTCATGCCAGCTTGAGGCCTGGTCAGCTGAATACAAGGCCAGAAAAGTAGCTCCTCAATCTGGCCAAGGTGATGAGACAGATCAAAATGATGATAGTTGTGGGCGCTGTGGTGATGTTGGTGAACTGATATGCTGTGATAACTGTCCATCTGCGTTTCATCAGTCATGCTTGTTTGAACAGGTTTGTCTTTGCTTTCTTTTGTGTCCAGCAGTTTTCATGTTCCTTTTCTCCTTGCATTAAGAATTTGAGTATTTTCGTAATATTTTTCTTCTTTGTTATTAATGACTGGAATTTAGCATAAACATTTATTTCCATGATAATATTTCTGCTAACATGCATGTGAAGCTACAAACGTCATCTTGATAGATGGAGCCATTGCTAGTTCTTAACTCTAGTTGCCAAGTTTTATCAATATCTATGTGTAGACATGCATGGAGAGGTTTGTGGTCAACATGAGCCCAGCTGAAACTCAAATCATTATTCAGTTGAGCCTGGCCAAGTAATCTTTTATTGTTTCCTGCTAGGCACTAGTTTTCCATCATCTTTAATTGGGTTGCAATCTCCCCCATACTTCATTTACTTATCGATTTACCACCTTGCAACTCGTATCTAATTTCATTGACCGCCTGAGCATAATGAGTTAACAGGTGAACTGGCAAGTGACGAAGCCAGTAATGTTTAATTGGATGAGGACATAAATCTTGTGTTGCCTGCTCTTCTCCATGCAGGTTTTTGCATGAACACATTGAGTTGGAGAGTTTGGAAGTTGTCTTCTTCCTACTCGTTTTTCTTGGAAGAGGCTCGATCTTTGGACATTATGTGTTTATTGCCAACTGGAAACTGATGTGTTGATCCTCTCTATTTTTTTTGTTTTTTTTGTTTTTTGGGGTATCTCTTTGAGAATTGAATGATTTTCTTTATATTCAAGCTAAACACAGGCATTTTGAAATCACGTATTTTCTACTTTGTTTTAGTTCAACTATGTTTATGTTACTCTACATGAAATAAGAATGTGTACACATGTTTTGCTTTGCCTGCTGGCAAATAAGTCTATTTGAAGTAAATTTAGCATGGGTCATTCATAGTAAGTACGCGTTTGAAGTTCATCTTTTCTTTTCAATTTTTTGTTTAATTATCTTTGACTGTTTTGGTTTATCAATGTAATAATTGTTTAGCAACAAGATTGTTGAGTGAGTTATTGACTCAAAATTTTATGTCTGCTTTTGTTTGCCATAGTTATCTGAACTGCGTGCGGTGAAAATAATTTTAAGGTTGGGCTTGAAGTGCAAGAAAAACTAGTTAAAAGACCTGAATAAGGGAGAATAAGTACAGGAAGTGAGAAAGGAGGAAGGCACCATTTCTTTCTCTTGTTGTGTTAGAGATAATAAAGAAAGAAGTGGATAGCGAGAGATAGAGCACTTGCCAGCCCTTCTTAGTATGTATGAGAAAAATAAAGGAAGTATTACTTGTCTCAGGAATGTATTGTTAGAAAAATGAGGTATATTACCTAAATTTCTTGCCTTCTATTTGTTTCTCTTCCTTCCTACTCAAACAACAGAACACCGGAAGTGAACTGACGACCAAATGTTTTTTTTTTTTTTTTTAAATTTATTCTATTTTACCCTGTTTTATGTAATATTTTCATTTAGAAGTGTTAAAGATAGGTGTTCAAAGGTTATTCTCGTACTTCTAAGTGCTATAAATGCTTAACTAAAAGTAGCTAGATAGGTGCCATGCATGTAGATCTAGACTTTGACACCTCAGGTTGTGATTGGACCAGCCATCCTTGTGCGAGTAGCTTAAACCATTGAAGCATTCTGTTCTGCTCCGTGATTGCAGCATTTTAGCATAGAAGTTGACCTAAAAATTAATGTTGTATTAGTTAATTATTGCTTGTAGTTAGTAACATAATTTTGAGGAACCAATTTTATCCGAGTATTAAAATTTTACTACTCCCCATTTGACCTCATTCTGTTTTAAGGTAGATGACGCTATTCTTATAATTTTATTCTCAAGATGAGTGGGCACTGGCTTCAAATCAAGTGAAAATTCAGTTTATTCTCACAAAATGTGTTGATAATACGTGGGTGGTAGTTACCTACGACATGTGTAAACAAAGAGTTATTTTTTTTTTTTGATAGGTAATCATAGAATTTTATTTCTTAAAAGAGAGTACACGGGAGGTATACAATCACTTTAAGCATGAAAGGAACAACATAAAATTAGGCAATCCTACAATAGAATTTTTAGCCACTGCATTAAATCAAGTATACAAAGTCAAGTAAAATAATTCTCTTATCTGCTCTATTGTCTTTGTTTGGTTTTCGAAACATCGATCGTTCCGTTCTTTCCATATGCACCATACAATGTATCCCGGAATAAGATTCCAAAGAAGTTTCTTATCCTTATTACGAAGTTTTCTCCTCCATGCTTGCACCACGTCTTCTATACGCCTAGGTAGCACCCAATCCATTGATTGAGAAGCCAAAATACTGTTCCAAAGCCAACGTACACCATCACAATGAATGAATAAATGATCAATCATCTCTCCATCCTTCTTGCACATATAGCACCACTCGGTTACATAAAATCCTTTGCGTCGAAGATTATCCACCGTTGACACCTGTCCCCTCATAACTGTCCACTATAGAAAAGCTACCCGTGGAGGCAATTTGCTTTGCCAAACCATCTTCCAAGGTAATGAACTTTCCACAAATCCCAAAAGGGATTGAAAGTATGAGCGGACTGAAAAAATACCGTCTCGAGCCGACCTCCACCTGCTGCAATCACCATCTCCTACCCGAATTTGTATCTCATGCAAGGCAGTAAAAAACAACGAATAATCTTCCAATTCCCAATCCTGTAAGCCCCTTTCAAAAGTAATATTCCAATTAAAGCCCCCATTATGAATATCTAATACATCACCCACCATAGCAGTAGGCTCTAACGCAATGCGGTATAATGAAGGAAATCCCTCCTTTAACGGTTGATCGCCAACTATTATGCCAAAATCTAATATCAGTGCCATTTCCCACCACAAAATTCAGTTTGTGGCTAAAATTACTCCATCCCCGTCGGATATACCTCCACAAGCTCACCCCATAGGAGCCACGACCCTCAACCGTACACCAACCCCCCTCCATCACACCATACTTTGCCCCAATGATTTCTCTCCAAAAGCTCTCCCTCTCCACTCCAAATCGCCACAACCACTTGCCCAATAAAGCCTTATTAAACAAAACAAGGCTCCTCACTCCAAGCCCCCCCATCCTCATAGGCAAACAGACAGTACCCCAATTAACCAAATGCATTTTCCTCTCCTCCCGTAGCCCTGCCCACAAGAATTCTCTTTGAAGTCTCTCTAATCTATTTGCCACTGCAATCGGAATAGGAAACAATGACAAAAAGTAAGGGGGAGATTTGAGAGAGTGGATTTAATAAGAGTAAGTCGGCCTCCCTTAGAAAGATACATACGCTTCCACCCTGCTAACCTCCTCTCCATTCTTTCCATAATACCATCCCAAATATGTGTACTTTTAAACCGTGCCCCTAGCGGGAGCCCTAAATATGACATGGGCAATTGTGCAACCCTACATCCCAATATACCAGCCAACTCCTCCACGTTAGTGACCTCCCCTACTGGAATAACCTCAGATTTCCCCAAATTGATTTTTTATCCAGACACCGCTTCAAAATATAGGAGCAAACGACGCAGGTTCCTGAATTGTTCATCATCCGCATCGCATAAGATCAATGTGTCATCTGCAAATAGCAAATGAGACACCTGCAATTGGCCAACCATAAAGCCCCTTACCAAACCCTCTCCCACAGCTCTTTCAAACATCCTATTAAAAGCCTCCATCACAATAACAAATAGCAATGAGGATAGTGGATCTCCTTGCCGCAAAGCTCTACTACTCCGAAAATAACCCTCCGGCGATCCGTTGACCATAACTGAGAACGAAACAGTAGAAATACAGAACTGAATCCATTTACACCACTTATCCCCAAAGCCGCACCTCCTAAGCATATACAAAAGGAACCCCCAGTTCACATGATCATATGCCTTCTGAATATCGAGCTTACATAGCATCCCGGGAATTCTCAAACGCAATCTTGAATCAATGCGTTCATTCGCTATAAGCACAGAGTCCAAAATCTGGCGACCTTTTACGAAAGCATTCTGAAACTTGGACACTACTTTTCGGAGCACCTCCTTTAATCTATTCGCCAGCACTTTCGCAATAATCTTATACATCCCACAGACAAGGCTAATAGGCCGAAAGGCTAATAGGGCGAAAGTCCTTAATGTCGGTCGCCCCTGGTTTCTTAGGGATAAGCACAACAAATATAGCATTAGAACTTTTTTGGAACCTGCCACGTTAAAAAAAATATGTAAACACGTCCAAGATTTCTGATCGCACCACCTCCCAACAAGCCTTGTAAAATGAGAACGAGAAACCATCCGGTCCAGGGGCCTTATCCTCGTTCATGTTAAACACTATCTCCTTGATTTCATCCTCCTCAAAAGGTCGCTCTAACCAATCGGCATCATCCTCCGTGATTGTAGAAAAATCCAATCCTTCCAACTTTGGCCTCCACTCAAACTGCTCCCGATATAGATTCTGATAGAAGTTCACCAGTTGACTTCCAATTTCGAGTGGTTCTTCATAAGTTATCCCATCCACTTTCAACACTGTGATAGAATTTTTACGTCTATTAGAATTTGCGATCCTGTGAAAAAATTTAGTACATTTATCTCCTTCTTTCAACCAATTGACCATAGATTTCTGATGCCAAGCAATCTCCTCCATCTCCACCAACCTCTCCAGTTCTTCCCTTAATGCTCTACGTTTATCCTTCTCCTCCCCATCCAACCTTCGACGCTCCTCCCACCTATCCAACTCATCTATCTCTGAAAGGCACTGAATTTTACGATAGTTCACATTGCCCACAACCTCCTCATTCCATTTCTTTAAATCCCTTTTCAAAGACTTCAACTTCTAATCCAACACAAAACTAGGAGACCCTCTAATATCATAAGATGTCCACCAAGTCTGTACTTGCTTCCTAAAACCTTCGACTTTCAATCACATTTTCTCGAACCTAAAAGGCTTTCGTCCTCCACCCGTCCTGTTCCCAGTTAACATAATGGGGAAATGATTAGAGTACACCCTCCCCAATCTTCTCTGAATGACATCTGAATACTTAGCCTCCCACTCTCCGCATATCAAGAACCTGTCTATACGAGAAAGAACCGGTTGATCCCGATTAGAAGACCAGGTAAAATCTCCCCCAATCATAGGCAAATCCACCAACATATTCTCCTTTATAAAGTCTGAAAACTCCTCCATAGCCCTCGTGATTCTCCCACCGCTCGACCTCTCAATAGGAAATCGAACCACATTAAAGTCACCTCTTATACACGTTGGTAGATTCCACCAAGCCATCATTCCAGCCAGTTCATCCCACAAGCCCCGCCTACTGTCATCGGTATTAGGCCCATAAACAGCTATGAACATCCACTGAAATCCATCCCCAATGTTTTTGAACGACATCGATATTGAGAACAATCCTACACTCACCTCCTCCATCTCAAGCACTCTGGTGTCCCACATGACTAATATGCCTCCAGAAACCCCTAATGATCCCATAAACTGATACCCTACATGCTGTCCCCCCCATAAGCTACTGACCACCGCCCTCGAGATAAACTCCATCTTGGTTTCTTGTAAGCATACAAGATCCGCTCCCCAGCCCCTTAGCAGATGTCGAACACCCATCCTTTTTCCTACTTCATTAAGTCCCCTTACATTCCAGCTAATGATTCGTGGTATCATTTTAACAATCCGGCATCCCTCCCCAATACTCCATTCTTGGACTCACCACCCTTGCCATCATAATTAACTGACCATTCGAGCCTCTTAAGTTCATGATCGCCCTTTCTTCTTAGTTTTCCTTCTTATTTACTCATCTCCTGTCCCCTATTGGCCTCCAAATCCTCAAATAATTGTAATAATCTGTTTTCATAACCATCACAAGACACACCCATTAACTTACTGAAATCCTGAATTTTCTGTAGAACCCAGTTCGAAGGTGGGTGTCCAACTTCGAATCCAATCAAACCCCCTGTTTCCTCCTCCTGTATAACATCACTTTTCATTTCTCCCTTCTTGGCTCCATCTACCCACAACACAAGTGCTTTTTCCGTCCCCAAGTCACTTACCTTCATTGACTTAGAGTTCCTTCTATTATATGTATTCGCAACCCTTGTTGTCAAAGGTATCGCATCATGCTCTAACACCGCTGAGGTAACTAGATCCTCTGACAGTACATGCCTCGTCCCTTGGTCGTCTAGTAAAAGCCCATCATCGTGTGGGACTGTGTCTGTAGCACCCATCTTTACTGTCTCCAAGTTTACCATATTCGGCTCCCCTTCTTTAGACAAAGGTACCACCTCTCGGTCTATATCGGTCCCCGTGTCTACCTCATCCATAGCCATCCCCTCTAAGACATCACCTTTGTCATATTTAGAGTGTCCCTCATCCATTTCAATCCTATCAATTGACTTACAAGTGATTTCGAGTCTTCCCTGCTTAACTTGATTATGTGCCGATTCCTTCTTATTCAAGCCCGATGCTTGTTTTCTAACAGCTGGATACTCATCCATACCCACCCCACACCTGTGGCAGCATAATAACTTCTTGGGACCCATTTCATACCCACTTCCCACTAGCCTAATCAATTCCTCCAATGCTCCTTTCAATTCCTGGACACGGGCCATAATTTCAGCCCTATTCAAACAACAATCCTGACCTTCGTTTACACTGACATTGACAGTCATCTCCTTTTGCTGTTGCCTCCGCTGGTCAACATGTTTCGAGACATGTAGGTTTGCTGTTATGTCTGCATAAGTCAATCCTTGTCGATTACGTTCATTCACAAGTCGACATTTGGCTTTATCCCCCGCAACAAAAGAATCCACAACAGCTTGAAACACTCGCGAGATTGATGCCCATCCTTCTCCATTCGCACCTTCCGGCACCATCACAACTCCCTTCCGACGCCTATCCCCAAACTGCACTATTATCAAGTACCTACCACGGCGGTTCGCACAACGCTGTGCCAAGAAGGCTCTTGAAGACTCATTGAATCTAGAAACGAAATCCTCATGCTTACTAGTCACCCTCAACTTGTCCACCATATTCACCATCTAACGTGCACCGAACCTTCCCATGCTAATTGCATTCGATATCTTCGAGCCCCATTCGGTCATTCTAACAACGCCAAGATTAGTAATAGAAATTGCAAATACCTTCGCCTCAACTCGAAAACGGTGATTGAAGGCCACATCTAATTCATCCACTAACTTCCTCCCCTGATTGTGTGATAACGGCACATTGGACGGCAAAACAGGCATCGTTACTGGACTGGGGACATTCTGCTTGTCATCCTGATTTTCCGGCGCCGGCGCGTGATTGACACGCGCCTTCACACGGGCCGTTCTGGCGGCGCGTAGGTCACTCGTCTCTGTCCCCCTGGCCGGAATCGCCTGCGCATAACGTCGGTCAGGCGCGTTTGCCAGGCAGGTGGCCGTATTTTTCTGAATCTGGAACGTGCAACCCTGTTTTCCGGCCTCTTCTCCGACCTCGACATCTGTGTCTCCAGCTAGGGCGGCGGTGCTAGGGTTTCCACCTAGGGGTGCCGCCTGATTATGTGGCTTATGTAGTGGCGTAAGGCCGGTGAATGGTTGGCCGATCGACGTGATGTCGGCGGCGACTGTAGCGGTCGCTGGTGAGGGCTGGCTAATGGTGTGATGTTTGGATGTTAGGGAGGAGAGATCCATTCTCACTCAGATCATCGGCATGTCAAAATTTCTTCTAAGTATAAACTTCTGATGAGAGGAACCCCAGTCTGACGAAGGTCAATATCATTGAGTAATTTTGCCTGCGAGGTCAACAAAACAGGTACTTCGAGATAACAAAGAGTTATTTTTGATCGACTTAGATTATAATTTATTCACTTTCCAACCATGCACTTAGGTAATGGAACATTCCCAATACCTGGTATAAATGCACTTTCTGACTGGGGAATTAGTTGGAGAAAAAAAGGTGTTCTACATAGTGGGCTCAAACAAGAAGTGCTAGGCTAATTTACTGGTTTTCACACCACTCTTTTTCTCCCCTCTGCTGTCTCTTTATTTTTTTATTTTTGTTATTTTTGTTATTTTTCCTTCTGTGATAGATCAGTTTAGAAATATAGAATCATGTACAAGGAACTCAACCTGCTTTACTCTTCTCTCTAGGAGCTGCCTGAAGGAAGCTGGTATTGCCCACAATGTCGTTGCTTGATTTGTGGGGCAGTAGTCCATGATAAAGACGCTTCACAATCTCATAGCTCCTTCAAATGCTCACAGTGCGAGTTCAAATGTAATTTTCCTGACTCTGAGGGACTGTTATTTCGGATTTCGTGCAACTTACGGACATGAAAAATCAACCAGTGCTTGGTTTAATCCACCTTTTACATCTATGAGATATAAGTGAATTTTTTCTTTACCTGTTTTGTTTAGGTTGATAATGCTTATTCGTTCTTTGCTTCTTGCTTAGTGTACTCTCTGTGTCTGTGTGGAGGGAGCAGGGGTTACTAAATCATTTTTAATGCTTGCAAACAGATCATGAGACGTGCATGCAAGGGAAGGGCATGAAAATCGAAATGGCCTCAGATAACTGGTTCTGTGGAGAATACTGTCAGGAGGTAAATCGTTGGTTTCCTTTAATCAGTTCATTTGATTAATAACTAACAATGTTGTCAAGTACAATATGTTGCATACAGTGAGTCAAGGTAAACAAGTCTAATATAATTTCTTCATGTGGCGTCCCTCTATATGAAATAAGCCACTTTCTTTTCTCTGTTTGTTTACCAATTTGATACAGTTTCCATTCAGTCATGAATTATATGCAATGATGCATACATCTTAAGATTGAATGAAAACGTTTGGTATTGAAATTTAAATACATTGCCGTTAGTTCCACTTAGCTGGATCATACACAGACATGCTTAAATATAAGTTCTGAATAGAATTCGGTGATTTGATCTGAAGAATCCTTTCTCAATCTCTTGTTGCCATGTTTTTTTGGTGACACCAGATGGGTATGGTAAAGGTTTGTTTCTTTATGAATTGTTAGAGATTTATTCTTCCTCAATGAGTTTTAATTATCTACACCTAGGTAACTGTCGTGTTTTCTGCTGAATGGTTGAAATCACGCTGATTCTGTGTTTTACATATAAGATCAGAAAAGTACCCAATCATGTTTAAGAGTTGATAATAAGCTTGCATTGCTAGACCCTGCTAGCTCTAAATAGATTATTGGTGATATTTGTGGACTGCATTGAAGAGGTTGCAGCTAGGATCGAGTCCATACATTACAACATTGGAAAACTTCTTAGAGAGATTAGTTTCCTAGAAATTTGTTCTGCTTACATAAACTCACCTTGCGTATCAGACATTGTCTGAGTGGAAGTGTAGACATGATAAAATGTCATGATTTTCTCATGTTGTCCCAATGGGAGCATAGCATTCAGAAACAGATCAGTCTAAATCTCTGTTATTGTTGAAGGCAGGCAAAGATATTGTTTCAGGGAAAATATGTATATTTTACAAGGTTAATATACAACACCATATTAAGTCACCGTTTGGAAATAATTAAATGCTGTATAAATAAGAATAGTAAGAGGAATAGTAGTGGGTCCATGAAATGTGTGGATAATAACGAGTAGTAGTAATGAATGTATGGTTATAATTAATATTTGATTTTGATTGAATTTATAAACCAATTTATAAATTGTATCCATACGAAGGCTAATTCATTTTAAGTAATTGTTCACGAAGATATTTTTCGATTTAATACTACTGCAAGTGTATGGTTCGTTCATAAATAATAAAGTGAATTTGAGTTCAAATATCGTCCTACATATATTGATTTAATTCGATTTTAATTATTCGACCTTAACCGAAACAATAATAATGTGATATGTTTGTTTGTGACAAAATTACAACTAGAATCATGTACTCATGCAATTTTGAGTAAATTATTAAGCTAAATGTAAACTATGCTAAATACAAATTGATGTGTTCAAATGAATGACAATCGACTAGGATCGCCAATTTTCATGCAATAATTCTTTTTAATCTTAGTTCTATACTTTGACAACACGATTGAATCTTGAAGAATCAATGTTCCTATTTTATTCAACAATCTCTTTCGAGTAATGTTAAACCTATTTTCATATATGATCTAACTATATTTCTATGACGGATGTGAATATATAAGAGTGCATGAATTTTTATGAACACATATATATTCACATAGAGTATAGCGGTGTATTTCTATCTCTTATTGGACTCTATGACGATTTACGTCATGTCGAGCCTATTTTCCTTCTTTCGAATGCATAAAAATAAGTCACCAAATTTACACAACTACCATGCACAATAATTGTGGAGAAAAAATAATATAAATCATTCAATATCTAAACACATATTTTCGATGTCAAATATATAAATCTAGAGATTAAAAACTCATATTACAAGGTTTATTGTTCTCCTAGCACAAAGAAATCTAGCCTAGCATGTTATGAAAAAGAAAACAAAAGAAATATTGAAGAATGGACATCACCCAAATAAATCTTCAATTGAATCTTCAAGTCTTGAAATCGATCTTCGCGCTTTTTTTGCCTCTGTTATGCTCCAAAATTTCTTGGAATGTGTTCCCCTTTGTGGTTCTAAACGGCCTTAATCTTAAAAGACTTCCCCAATGTTATTTCCAAAAGAGTGTGATTCAAATAAGGAAATAAAAAATTCTTCCGAAAATATACTATGCTATTGCATGGTACTTTTTTCATGCTGTAGCATAGCTCAACCAGTTTCAGTTTGGAAGACCCTGCACCACACCATGTGACTACATGGCTCAAAGAACTATGCTATAGCATAGTTCAAGTAGAATTTCATTCTTTGCATTTTAGTCCCCGAACTCATTTTTTAGTTTTTTAATCCCTTTTCTCACTTATTCTTCTTCTTTTAGTACTTTATGTCTTCGCTAATTTGGTTTTCGATTTTTTCACATCATCATTTCTTCTTCTGCGACATCATTCAACTATTTGCACTTTGGTTCCTCAACTTTAGTGTTCTTCCATTTTAGTCCCTTTTTTTGCTTGTTTTTCCAAAATTCCAGCATGCTCATCAATGTCATCCTACAAAACATAAGTTATAAAGAATTAAGCCATATTTTAATATATTTATCAACTATTGTCCATGTATGTGGCCTAAATAAGTGTGTAAAATACACTTATCAGTAAGAAACCCTTTGACATCAATTTTCTCCTTTTTGTCAGATGTAACCATGAAAACAATAAAATTGAACTTTTCCTCCTTTTAGTATGTGTTTTTTGAAATGAGGATGCATTATTATTATAATTGAAAAGATTACATTTTTATGAAGAAGTTAAAGCATCGTTTTTACTTCCATCACTGCTGCTTGTTCGGACGTTTTATTTATTGGAGTATTATTTCAGCATCTTTAATATTCTGATTCTGTTTTGTTTTAATTCCCTGTGCAGGTATACTCAGGTCTTCGATCTCGCATTGGGTTGATAAATCATCTTTCTGATGACTACTCTTGGACACTTCTTCAATGTATTAATGGCGAGCAGAAAGTTCATTCTGATGAGTGCTTTGTTGCTTTGAAGGCAGAATGCAACTCAAAGCTTGCTGTTGCAATCACGATTTTGGAGGATTGCTTTCTTCCGATGGTGGACCCAAAAACAGGCATAAACATGATACCTCAAGTCATGTACAACTGGGGGTACTACTTTATAGATCATCCTCTTGTTTTCTACAACTATATGTGCCTTGCTATTTTCTTCTAGCACTTGTAGCACCATCCTATGTTGTTCATATATCTGGGTATAGATTCACTAGATGAGCAATCGCATTGAACTATTTCGATGTTTCTGAAAATCAACTCATACGACCCACTTTCATCTGTTTGTCCAATTGTATTTCCTTTTCAGCTGTAAAGCATTGCTGTATCTTGAAAGAACTGCGAGTTCAAGCTCTGCCCTCTGCTTCCCCTTCAGATATTATTTTATGTTCATCAGAATTTAGTTCATGTCATCTGCTGAACTTTTTTGGTTTTATTTCTTGTTAAACTGATTCCTTTACGTAGGATGGCTAAATTTGAACTATGTGAAGTAAACTCAATCTCTTTGATGGTCTTCAATGCACCTTTTAACTGGAGACCCCTATCAATAGTTTTTCATCAAGCTACGTTTGCTGAGGTGGTGTAAACTGCTAAATTGTTCCATAACTCCTTATCTTTATATTAACGTCTCATCTAAAAGTTTAAGCAGTTAGAGAGGGATTGCATGTATTCATGCATCTTGATTTCAACACTTAAATAGCAAAAATCGAGCATTTTCATGAAGTTGGTGGTGTGTTGAAGCTATTTGTAAGAAATTATTTAACGGACGTTATTTATGCGTCTGAAAATGAAATCAATCACCTGGGATTGACAGTGGGGTCTCGTGTGGCCTACATTTGCTGTTTTCAGTGTCATTGAATACTTTTGTTCATTCTCGTTTTCTTTGTTTTGACAAATTTGCCTTCTGCAAAATGAGCAGCTCGGCTTTACAACCTTGTATTGTACAGTTTAACAACTATTGTTAGTTTTACCAGAACACAGGCGATTGTTGTTCTTGCAAATAAATAGTCTGACCATTGCCGTTAATCTATATTCTGATTTGTTACATGATGTGCATGTATATGTTTGCAGAGCTTTAGGATGTGCTTATTCTAGTAAACCAGTATGCTTGAGCTAAATTAAGCTCAGTTTGAGAATTGTATTGTACTCTTTCCTTCCTTCGGATGTTATTCAGACCTTTTTTCCCCTCAACTATGTATAGCTATTTTGAGTTCACTTCATTTTCATTCACTATTTATGTTAACAAGATCTGGCGGTAACTAAATTTCAAACTGAAAACAATTACCGTGTTTCTTTCAGATCAGAATTAGCACGTCTGAACTATAGTGGGTTTTATACTGTGGTTTTGGAGAAAGATGACATCATGTTGTCTGTAGCATCCATCAGGTAAATTACGATGTATGATTTGTTTTCGCTTATGCAATATACTGTCTTTTAGTACCTTTTGGTAGCGGTATAATCTCGTCTCAAAGTTTATCTAGGAGACTGTTTCATTCTTACATCTAATATCACATGCTTCTTGCTGCTTCATCCTACCTTCTAACTTGTTTCAGTCACAAGTGTAAAGCGAATTGGCCAAAGCTTACTTTATTCTTATGCATTTCTTTTTCATCCTCGACTTGAATTTAATTTAATACGATGGATCTCTTTTCTAGAACTCTTATATTCTTGCGTGGGAATTAGGAAGCACTTCTACATTCTTGTATGCTAACTTCTACATTCTTGTATGCTGTGTTAGCTGCCAAGGTTGACACCAAACACGAAGGCTACCATCATAGCTAATTAATGTGCCAAATATGTTCCATATATCTATTTTCAACCGGTAGTAAATTTCATACAAACAAAAGGGGTTTCAGGGGAGAAAATATTAATGAAGCTTCAAGATGAGTAGTCTTTATTATATTTTGGTTTTGAAGCTCCTTCATCTGACTGACATATCTTGGTTCCTTTTGGAACCATATAGCATTTTAATTTTATTTATTCAATTAGGTGAACACTATAGATATCTTATTTATTTTTTACTATACGTGTTTTATCCATTCTCGCTTTTCCAATTATTGTTTGTTCTTTTATCCAATCCTAAGTAATTCTTAGATATTTGTTAATTCGATAATTATTCTTTTGTTCGTTACATGATTACTTGGCAATATTTTTTATAATGTGATGTGTTCTTGATGCAGAATCCACGGGGTTACTGTAGCAGAGCTGCCTTTAGTTGCTACTTGCAACAATTATCGTAGACGAGGATTGTGTCGGCTCCTTATTAATTCTATAGAAGAGGTAATTTATCTATTTGGACCATCAGCATTCATCATGCAACGCATGTGAGAGGTATTCGTTATCCACTATGATTGTTTACTAATTTTTATGTTGTGCGTACGCTTGTGTCTAAACAGAATGTGGGGGTGCATAGTCTGCACCATATTAAGTGGTTGGTAATCTATATTTTTGCACAGGGGCGGACCCACATGGGGTCATGTGGGGGTCAAATGACCCCACAGTTTTCTGGATTTTTTTTTTTTGCTGAAAACTTAATTTTTTGCCCCAAAAAATCCAAATCCTAAATCTATATCCATATCATATGGTCTATATTCATTATTTAGTCCATAGATATATCATATAATCCACCGATTTCTTCCCAAAGTGCAAATATCGAACATGAACAACAAACAACCGATTTTTCCTTTTTGTTCATAATATGTTGTTCGAAATTTTTTTTTTTTTGACCCCGTAGTTCGAACGGTCTGGGTCCGCCCCTGTTTTTGCAACAACTGTCCTGGGAATAAAATAAAAACTAAAAGCTTGACAAACTGGAGCGAAGCAGATTGCAAATGTTCCTGGAATTCATCAAAGGAAACTTGGGGTTACCTGGTTGAAAACGGATAGCAAATATGATAGCAAGAAGTTGGATCTTCTTCAGGGGCATGAGTAGGGAGATTTAAATTATTATTATAATTATTATTATTTTTATTTCGAAAATCTCTCTTAAATACTGGGTTTCTTAGGTAATCGTGTATCTCAGATCTCTGTAATTTGGAGTTTTTGTGGTGAAGTACCCAAGAGTGATGTTTCATGATTTTCTCCATCCCTTGGAATCTGTTTTCTTAAACTTGCCATCTTTACACGTCTAACGTTTGTGCATATGTTCTTTCTGTGAGTTATTGTGTTTCGCATATTGGTAATTTCAGTTCAATTGTGGCTTTAGATGTTGAAGTCTTTGAGGGTCGAGAAGCTCGTTGTATCTGCCATTCCCAGTGTAGTGGAGACATGGACAAAGGGTTTTGGCTTCAAACCCCTGGAAGACGATGAGAGACAAAGTTTGAGCAAAATTAACCTCATGGTGTTTCCTGGATCCGTATGGCTGCAGAAGCCTTTGCATCAGAGTACCATGAATCAAGAAAATGGTGAGGATTCTGTTTTTGAGATTTTTTTCATCCTCGTTTAAATGTTTGGCTGTGTTCTAAAGTAAGAAAAGTGTAACACCAAACATGCTCTTTCTCGTAGCATTAAGAAATAATTTTCGTGCATCAGGCCCAATTGATGCTTCAACTTCTGGAGCAAATGATCCTGGAGAAATGGGAACTCTTGAGGAAGGATTTTCAACCACGCAGTCTGTTCGAGAAGCCAATACTGAAACAGGAACCATACTTCATGACTTAGAGAATTCTCAATCACATGAAAAACAAGAACCCGACATTTCATCTGATGAACAAGAGCATGGACGATTTTCCAATCATGATTTGTCTGTTCAAGAAGCTCGTATAGAGACAGGATCAGGACATGCTCACTCTGAGAATACGCAATCGCATGAAAAACAAGACCCTGATATTTCATCCGATGAACAAGAGCTTAGACGATTATTCAATCATGAATTTTCTGTTCAAGAAGCCCATACTGAGACAGGATCCGGATTTGCTCTCTCTGAGAATATGCAATCACATGAAAAACAAGACCCTGACATTTCATTTGATGAACATGTGCTTAGACGATTATCTAATCATGAATTTTCTGTTCAAGAAGCCCATACTGAGACAGGATCCGGACGTGCTCTCTCTGGTAATAGGCAATCATATGAAAAACAAGACCCCGTCATTTCGTTTCATGAAAAAGAGCTTAGACAATTATCCAATCATAACTTGTCTGTTCAAGAAGCCCATACTGAGACTGGATCAGGTCATGGAATATTACCAAAACCCTTGGGTAATTTGTAACTTTGGTTTATTTTACCATATAATTACAATTTTTTAGACTAAGGATTCATTAACTTTTGAGCTCAAAGTTTTGTAGAATTACAGTATTTTCCCCCCCCACAGTTTACTCTTTTCATGAGATGAATTTAGCTGTATTATGTTCAGTTTTTAGACTGGATCAGGACATGCTCGCTCTGAGAATTTGCAGTCAGATGTAAAACACGACCCCAGTGTTTTCTTTGATGAACAAGAGGAGAGAAAACTATGGAATCACAGTCCTTTCATTCAAGAAGCCAAGTCTGAGACAGAAAACAGAAATGGTAACCTTTTTTTTGCAATCCAGTGTAAAACAGGATTGTTGCAGAAAACTAAAAATGTTCCACTAATGAAATGCTTTTGTGTTCAGGAGGTAGCCAAGTTGAAGTAGTTGCCTGTACAGAGGCCAATGAGATGTATGCAGAGACAGTTTTTGGACATGCCCACTTTGAGAATATGCGATCACACGAAAATCGAGACTCCGAAATTTCATCCAATGAACAAGAAGGCAGACGACTATGCGATCATGATCTGCCTGTTCAAGAAACCAGGACCGAGACAGAAACCAGAAATGGTGACTATTTCAATCAAGTGAATAACAAGAATCATCCCACCTTTTCCACTAACGAAGTGCCAACTTGAAATAGTTGCTTGTACAGAGGCCAAGGAGATGTACACCTGGACAGAGAGGCAATTATTTGTAAATGTGGGAAGCAGTGTATTAGATAGACCAGAATGTTCCACTCGGATTAATAATTATATTTCTTGAATGGCAGTTCAAAATTAATTTTTTATCCGTCTTATTGCAAGCAATTTTTTTCAGTTAGAATTTACTGATTCTTCCTACTTGATCGCCCTCCGTCCCTTGCTTGCTTTCTTTTCATGCTTATTTGACTTGTTTTTTCAGCTTTGATGCACTTCCTTGGTATTAGTTCTTGGATTCCCAACGTAAGAGGTCAACTGCGGAGTAGTTCGAATCCTTGAATGTTCTTTTGTGTTTTTATACGTCAACTGGTGTGAGATTATACCATTTAACATGCCCTAGCAAGATTCGTTCAATTTTTAGAACACCAATTTTGGAATCTCTTGTTTAAGCTTCGATTTGATGGATTTAATGGCTCACTCGAATATTGAGAGTTCCGATTTTGGGTTTTACCTTAAAAAAAAAAAAAAAAAAGAAAAAAGAAAAAAAGGAAAGAGGCTTAAGAAGAGTAGCTTGGTTCTTATGTTATTGGTTAGTGTGTTTATATATGACTGTGGACGGCAACACTGTACTGACTGGATTGGTTTTTATAAAAACAAGAATTGCAAGAGATTTTTTTAAGAAAATGCCATGTCGATTTTGCCTTACCTCATTTAAAAATCTCAAACCTGCAAGTTTATGATATAACCCCCTCTTGATCTTCTATCCTCACTGAACTTTTGGCTTTTATCTTGGTCTTCTACCACTTAAAACACATTTTATTTATTTCAATGGAGAATTTATTATTTTCACTGTAGAATCTATTCTCATTCTCAAAAATTACATGGCATACACGTGTTACGAGCCCATATTGGTTGATTAGACATCGATTAACTATCTTATTTGGATTGGATCGAATGAATCAAGTAACCCCATCTTGAGCTTAAGCTTGGGCCCGGTCCGTAGCACTATGCCCATTTCCTTTCCTCTATATATAGAGGAGCTCGCTATTATCAATCAAATTTACGGAGTTCGATGAGGGAAATTCTGACCGTTGTTCATAATACTATCATGAGCTCCCAGCCTTTCGTGAACCTACGCCACTATCAGCTACCACTTTTAAAGGCGAAGCCTATACTCAGATATGTAACTTTAATATTTTCATATTGTTGTCCAAAAGTGATATGAATGAATTATAGTCGATGATGGACATAAATAAATCATCGAAAGGATGAGTTTAGGCCCATAAGAGTGTCACATTCGGGAGTAATCCAACCTTTGTGATGGAAGATTCAATGAAGAAGGTTCAATATGGTAGAAATAACTTGTACTATGTGACTTGTAATAATACTATATTATATATCTCTTTCCTCTTTTTTATTCGTATTGCTTGCGAAATCCCAAGATCAAACCGGGCCTTAAAACAAAATGCCAAATTCCAAAAATAGGAAACAATCAAATTTTATTTCAACAATCAAAGAAGTGAGAAAATCTTATTTAAATGATTCAGAGTATAGTTATAAATTGAGTTAATTATAGAAACAGAATCCCGAAACATGAACAAAAGCAAAATAACTTCTGATCCAATAATTCTGAAATTTAACTATAAATCTTCAATAGTTTTCTGATAAAATAATACTATGTACATTTTACTCCCAAAATCAAGAGGGATTTGGCACGAATGCCCATTATTTTTCCCTTTTATTTATTTATCTATTTATTTATTTTTCTGAAAGACATCTCAAATCTAGCCGTGATGACCAAAAACTGATTTATTGACTGGGAATTGATTAGGTTTTTATTTAACCTTAGGATAGTAATGTTACACATGGAAATTGTCCATTATATTGAAATTCTGGGATTTTAGTATATTATATGATAGTTTTAGATTTTTGTTTTCTTTAGTTAAGGTTTTGCTTAAGATAGTTTTTCAATAGATATCTTAGATTAGAGTTTCTTTTGTGATATTTAAATTTTTTTTTTATTATAGAATATTATTCAATTTCATTGAAAAAATTAGATCATTCGAGCCTTTAATATTTAATGAAACGAAAAATTTAGCATTCTCAATTATGTGTCCAAATTCTCGTTATTCCACGGAATTAACGAGCCTTTGATAACAATATTATCTCTTGCCATCTTCGACTATCAATTGCCAATTTACTCCTCGATCTCTAAATTCTCTATCTCGGTTGCAATCAATTGAGTGGAGAAATTTTGCCACAGTTCCAAAATTTTCTAAGCTTACTAAGTTGAATCTTAGTTACAACTCCTTCAGTAGACAAGTACCTATGAATCTTGAGAATTTACAGAACCTATAGCATCTAATGATGATCATCAGTTGACAAATGATTCTTCAATGCTCGAATTGGATTTTCTTGTTTCATTGAAAAATTATAGGAAGTTGAATATCATACTGATGGGATTCAGTTCTTTTCATGGAATATTACCAAAACCCTTGGGTAATTTGTAACTTTGGTTTATTTTACCATATAATTACAATTTTTTAGACTAAGGATTAATTAACTTTTGAGCTCAAAGTTTTGTAGAATTACAGTATTTTTTTCCCCACAGTTTACTCTTTTCATGAGATGAATTTAGCTGTATTATGTTCAGTTTTCATTAGAAAACTTATCATCTGATGTCCATGATGAAGCTACAACAATGACTTCAGAGGAAAATTCCAGATTTGTGTGGTTCACTCATCTCGTTTCTTGAACCTTCTTCTTCAAGGAGATTGAAGAATAATCTGGATAAATTTTGGGAGGATTCCAGATTTTTCCACTTGCAGCCATCTCTAGAAGAAGAAAGGAAAATTCACCTCCATTCTTGAGCTTTCCAACCTCCACCGCCATTGAATGATTTATCTAGAATATTGTTGAAGTCTCCTCCACCACCAATAGCTTAGTATATATATGTGTGTTTAACCTTTGCATTTGTGAAGTGAATTAAGAGTGATGAGAGAGTGAAGTGTGAATGGTGTGTGAAGAGAGATAGAGAAAGAGAGGCACACATATACGAGTGGTGTGTTTGAGATTAATTAAGTTCTGCCCCAAATTAGTGAGGAAACATTGGTAGGTTAGTTCCACAATAATTTGTACAAGTATTGCTCCATAGTAAAATAATTGTTTCTTTTTTGATTTTAAATTCAACAATTTGATATAGAGTGAAGCAGTTGCGGATGGATTTTTTGAGCTTCTCGAGATCATGCACAAAAGGAGATTGTGAAGCTTTCATAAAACTTGCTTGATTACGAGGAGCTAATTCAAGTCACAATGGGCGACCTACAAGTGATAGGCAGAATGAGAAAGTTCAATAATCAGAACTACACCATTTGACAAACTAGCATGGAGTCATATATCCAAGGACAGGACTTGAGGGCATTTGTTGTTGGAAGTGACGTGACACTTCGACGGAAGAATTAATGGAGCACATAAGGGATAAGTCTACACCAAAGGAAGTATGGGACACTTTGGCCTCACAGTTTTCGAAGAAAAATGACCTAAGCTTGCAATTGTTGGAAAATGAGCTGCTCTCAATCACTTAAGGTAAATTGACGTCAAGTCAATATTTCAACAAAGTTAAATCCCTTTGTCACGAAATTTCAGAATTAGATTCATCGAGTAAGATTTCGAAGTTCAGAATGAGAAGAATAATTATACATGGATTAATACTTGAATTTAGAGGTTTTATCATTACAATACAAGGTAGGCAAGAACAACCTTCATTGGTCAATCTTGAGAATTCGCTAGACGATTAAGAAGTGTTGACCAAACAAATGTTAGGGATCTTGATAAAGAAAGAAGAGGAAAAAACACTATATAGTTTTAAAAGAAGAGGTCGACTCCGTCAACAAAATAATAAAAAATTAAGAGAAGGTAAATCTAAAGGACTGATTGAAGAAAGCTATCAAACAAGGGAAGCTCAACAAAATTGCTACAAGAAAGGTTAAGGATAAGAACGAACTAATGGTGTCTGCTTTGTATGTGAAAAACTAGGCCATTACCCTAGAGACCGCTAGCTTAAAAAGGAATCAGACGAAGGTAATGCAGCAACCTCCAACAAGGAAGATAAATACAGTAGTGAATAAGAATGAGATGTTGAGGCAACCACAACAATAGTTGAGGAGGCTCGAGAAAAAAAAAATTAATTCAAGTTTAAAGGATGAATCAGCGTTAGTGGTGGTCCTGCCTGAACAATTGGATTGTGAAGATGATTGGATTGATGATTTGGGAGAAGATGATTGGATTGATGACTCGAGGGAGGACATTGAGGTTTAGGAAGAGTCTTCTTGGTGACTCCACAGATGTAGGAACTAACGGATACAGAAGAGGTTTTTAAAGAAGTATATTCCTTGGAGACATCAAAGAGGGTGGAGCTACTAGATTTAAAGAAAACAAAAAACAAATTGCAAGAGATCACAGAAGCACAGCAAAGTGTCGAGGAATTCAAAGATCTGCAAGTCTTAGGTGATAAAAAAGAGCGTGCAAGAGTAATATGGAATCCTGGGCAATAGAACATGGTCCAGAAAATATTAACGAAGGATCAACAGCGTCTACAAGAAGAAATTGAGGTATGTATAAATTTACAATAAAAAATAAGGAAATAGTATAGAGATGAGAAATCAAGTATCAAGTTTGCTAAACTAAAAATAGATAATAAGAGAAGTTCAAAAGAGCCAGATATATTTGAAGTCGATAATGCGTTAAATGAAGGACCGATCGCTTCAAAACTTGTCGAGCTTGAGGCAGAGTTGGACGTGACTAAAAAGAAAAGAGTTAAAATGAAAAGTCGGTGTTGAAGGAGAGAATTGAAGATACAACATCGGCTTCAAGGAAAATTTCAGATTTGTGTAGTTCACTCATCTCATTTCTTGAACCTTCTTCTTCAAGGAGATTGAAAAATAATCTGGATAAATTTTGGGAAGATTCGATAGCCATCTCTAGAAGAAGAAAGAAAAATTCACCTCCATTCTAGAGCTTTCCAACCTCCACCGCCATTGAAGGATTTATCTAGAATTTTGTTGAAGTCTCCTCCACCAACAATAACTTCGTATATCTATGTGTGTGCTTAGCATTTGCAATTTGTGAAGTAAATTAAGAGTCATGAGAGAG